TTGTTGAAAGAATGGATCAAAGTTTTGCCGTAGGTGAAGAGTTTCGAGATACATTATGTATATAGTTTTTATATAGTTTATATAGTTTTATTAACCCTAAGTCATCTTTTGTGCCAATTCCGCACGCTTCTCAGTGATTCAAACGTTTTACAGTTCGTTTAATTAGTACAAACCCACTTAATTTAAAGTCAGCTATTCATTTTTCCGCAACACGATTTTTCGTCACTGCGTCAATTTAACGCCAACGAACGAATTCAGTTTGGAAATTGAAAAACGGATGAGAGTCGATATTACATATACACAATTGAGCCGTTTATTTTGAAAGTGGCATAAGTCACTTTGTTTTTAAGTCGATGCATTTAAGGGTTTGCGTTTTAACACGCTTAAAAATATGGATGCTAACTTTCGAGAAGATTTACTTGTATTTGTTATCTCAGGATACTGATATTTTCCTCGGTATAAATAATTTCGTATAAACATGAAAAAATCATCACTTTTCATTACGGTAAAGTGACTTATGCCACTTTCAAAATAAACGGCTCAATTGTCAAACATTTTGTAGCAAACGTTTGAACGTTGACTAATCGGAGATCGAACTGACTCCCGGTCTACTTCGCTATAAAATAAATGCAACGAGCGATGCATTCGTGCAGAACTTCGAACGAAAGGCTTGAAACTTCGAAATCGAAATGATCCTCCGCGAGTAATTGCGTGGAAGCGTTCGTCGGCGCAGAACATAATTTCATTTCAGCCTATGGTGTTAAAATATTAACGCTGACATCAGAATTGCCCATGGGTGCAAGAAAACGATCATAAATGTTGCTCGGAGCTGTACAAACTATCGTCGGTGAAATAAAAGGGAGAACACCGGTGCGTAAATGCGGAATCGTAAACTGCCAACTTCTGAAATGCATCGTTGTTACAGCCAAGAATGAATAACTTTTGGAGCAAACATCGCGTGCACTTACGTTGAACAGGATGCATGGGAACGATCGTGCGCCGTTAATCGTTGTTTCGAATCGTAGCTACCGTTCCCAACGCAACACCGTATCGAAAATCCTTCGGCGACCGTCACTTGCTCCGAAACCACTAAAAAATCTCACCTTCGTAGTTCTCGGCGATAACTTGCAACTCTTTCGAGAAGCACGGAAACAATGCACTCGACAGCATGCATCGCGTTATCCGACGTCGAACTGATCCGTTCGCGTCGCAACTTCGTCACGTAGGTGGTTTATGCAAATTGAAATGCTTGCAAGTCGATTCGGAGCAACTGAAATTAAATCGACACCGATTTTCCCGGTCAATGATTTCGGGACCGATAAAATAAAATTCGCGACTGCGTACACGTTTTCCCTACAACTTCAGCATTTCGTGCGATTTCCCTGCGTTCTTCACGCATTCGTTAACCCGTTAGCCAGGGAAATCCATCGACTAGACGTTCGTGTCGGTTTCCTTCTTTCGCTGGCGTTTTCGAACGATTTGCATTGTTATTAACACTAAACCTACCGCGATCAAAATGACCGCTCTCTTATTCTGCAATTCTGCGAAGTTCCGAGACTCTTTCGTGGAGAACGCTTGAATAAGTTATATTATTGGAGCAAGTTTTATAATAAAAACTTTACAAATTCTAAATAAATTCGGTCTTCTCACTTTTGTGAAGCAGTGCGTGCCAGTTAGAATTACTGGCTTGGTAGGTTTAGCGTTAATTATACCGCGCTCAGTCGAACGCAAAATTCGTGTTACAATTTGACGGATCCTCGTGTCAGATGTTTTAACACTTAGCCAACCGAACGGGGAGATCTCCCCGTTTGAAATTCAGTCGATTGACGACCGAATGGATGATTAATGAAAACTTAAAAACGATTGCTTGATTTTATTAAGATTTGCAAGAGGTACGAACGCTGAAGAAGTAATCGGTGCCACATAAGTTTGCTACGTGATTTTTGTTCAATCGAATGAAATATTTTAATTTTATGAAAATTTCTGAGCTTCCTAGCGCGGCCGTGGAAGTGCTGAAATCGAAAGATCGGCCAGTTAACGAGAGAATATCGTCGATGGATTATTGACTTTGTAAGACATCAATGAAAGCGTACACACGTTACTGTAGCAGCGTTATGTTTCGGTAGCAGCGGTCCCGTCAATATCGGGCGGAAACAACACGGTTTTATCGTAAACAATGCCACGCAGAGGTCGAACGAAAGTTATGTAAATTTGATTGGAAAATTTCATTAATCCCGACCGACGTGCTTCGTACAACATTTACATTCTAACGATTGCTCGCGTATCGCGCGCAGTGTAACATTTCTTCGCGGGCGAACCGTTTGGACGGCGATCAGGGAATATTTGAACGCGAGAACGCTAACACCGAGTCTCTTTTACGGTCGGAATAAATAATTATGGCGGTAAAAGGGAAAATACAAAAAAAGAAACGTTGGTCGCGGTTGCTTTCGTACGTATTAGAAGATTACCGAGGAAATTGATAGGGTTATCGGTACTAAAATCGCCGGTTTATGGTGCGGCATAGTAAAACGTTTAGAACTCGTAGACGAACGATTGCGATGCCTTAAGAAAACTACAGAATCCGAGCATGAACGTGTAGCGAAGCCTATATTTTAACATCGGGAATCAACGGGGTCAGCAACGTTTTACACAATGTTACTCAACAGAAGCATTTTTTCAGATCTTCCGTGTTCCTGCAAGAAAAAAAAAGAAAGAAAAGATCTGAAACGAGCCATTCGATCCGCTCGATCGTTTCAGTGTTAAACATTTTTTTTTATACGTGCACCGGAGTAGTATAACGTGGTTCTTGTGCTGACAAACTTTTTTCCGCGCCGTGTCTTATGGTGGAGCCTAACCCACGTTCAACGTATGCAGTGCCATTTAAAAATAGACAGTTCAATGCACAAGTACTTCCAAAAATACATACTCGGACCCTAAGTATCTTGGTTAATTAGGAGAGGATTGAAGCAATGTCTGTTTGGCGAATTTACCGAACTTTATGGATGTTTATTGGTAGTTTTAGTATCTTAAATTAATTGAAACTATGTTCGATACTGTCCGAAACTATTTGGATTACCGACAACAATCGATGACTTCGTGTGTACAGACTCGCGTAGAAAATACAGTAAATTCTTCTTAATTTTTCTTCAGCTTGTAAACAAAAATGGGCAATTTGGAAAGGGGAGATACGATTATTCGAGCATTGCACCAACTATGTTCGATACATTGCTATTCGGATTACCGATAACAATCGATCACTTCGTGTACAGACTCGTCGAAAATAATGAAAAATACAGTAGATATATAATACCGTAAATTCTCCTTAATTTTTCTTCAGCTTGTAAACAAAAATGGACAATTTGGGACAATTTGGGAAGGAGAGATACGATTATTCGAGCCTTGCACCTCGTCATTATAATTGCGAAGCTCGAATAATCGTATCTTCTCTTCCCAAATTGTCCATTTTTGTTCACAAGCCGATGGAAAATTGTGAAGAATTTATTATACTATGTAATGTTAATTTTCGATTCACTTATTTTTAAGCGTCTAAGCTCATTTCAAAGAATCTTCTGTAATCATTACGAATTACTAAATGAAACACTATCGGAATCTTGCAAATTCTGGCACCAAGTTCATCGCATAAAGAATGCATGGGATTTGAATGAAATGGTTAGAGTGGAGCGTGTAGAATTTTCGCAGAATTGCGCTCGATCCACTGAAATGAATCTCAAACTTCGACAATTGTCGCACGAGATCCGTAACACGGTAATACAGAATTTCGAAGAAGGGTTAACGATGGGCCACGAGTATCGGTTTCAGTTCTTTCAAAATTTACTGAGATTGCGCAAGGCGAAGACGATTTATAAAAATTTAATTTTCGCTATATTCTTGTACGATTCATAAATTGCGTTTGCGACCTGTCGAAACTTAAACGAACCTTGCATTTCTATAATTGTTGTACAAAACTCGAAGATACAGGACATGGGAAAAGAGTGATTACGGTTCGCAGAAGCAAAAGTATCGGTTCCAATTCTTCCATAATTTCCTAGGATTTGTGACAAGCGAAGACGACTCATAAAAATCAAACCGATGCTTCCGATTGAATTTTTACTAGATTCTTGCGCGATTCATGAGCTGCGTTTCCAATCCTAATCCGCATTTGTCCCATAAAGACAAAGAAAACGTCGGATCGTATGAAGCAAGTTTTAATTCATTGAAAGAGATTAAGCAAAGTGAAAGCAATCTACAAAAACCGCCTAAAGTCGGATTTATTTCTCGACACAATAGTCTAACGAATATTGTGTTGAACAATGCACGAACGACGCTTTCAATTTCAATCTTGACGAAACTTAAACCATTCGAAATCGTCGCATCAAACTCAAAATATTACAACAGCGCCGATTTTTTGAGAGAAGTGAACGACGTTTCTCAAGAAGCAACTTTCGATTCCGTTATAATTTATTGAAAGATGTCGCGCAAAGCGAGATCGGTGTATAAAAACCACGTAATATCTGATTAATTTGCGGACACGATTGTCTAACAAATATTTTTAAACGATCCTGATCTCGACGAAGCTCAAACCTCGCATTTCTAAACCTTTCAAAGAACAACAACACAGATTTTTTGAGAAAATTAATCGACGGTTCGTAACGATCGAGTTTCGACTATTTCATAATTTATTGAAAGAAATCACGCGAAGCGAATCCGGTGATTTGTCTAAGTCCGATGAATTGTCTAAGAAATATTCTCGATCGATCAGCGAATCGCGCTGACAGTCGCAATCGTGACGAAGCTGAAACCTCGGGTTTCCGAGTGTGTTGCATAAAATTCTCAGAACGACCCGGAATTTTGGAGAATAGCGAACGACCCACCGAAAAGACCGTAGCTACGATCCGAAGAGACTAGTCCGGCGCTAGGCGGAGACCGAGAACCATCCGTCGTCCGAGGGTTAAAGCGCGTTAGGCTCGAAATTAGGAAGAAACAGTGGACGTTATACGTACTTTTGGAAGTGAGGTCACCGGGCTCGTCCTGTATGTTAACGGGTGAGATTTTCACTGACCTTGGAGGGCCCTGAAGGCTGAGGGGCCCGGGCCCCCCGGCAGTGCCCATCCTCTGCATCGCCGCGCCTCCGATTTCCATCGCTCTTCCAGCCCTTCGCACCTCCTTCGACGATTTTCGAGCAATCTTGAGGCCTTCGCGCCAAGTACGACCGCCGGCCGTACTGACTTTTTCTGCGTAACTTGACAAAATCGTGACCCCGAGGTTGGCGCCTTGAGCCCTTCTTCACAGAGTTCACAAGAGTATGATAACCGGAATCGGAGAGAACACGATAGCGGAGCGAAGATCACAGTTCGTACGTGGTCTGGGCTGTTCCTCGACGGATTGTCATCCGTAACGAATCCTCGCAGCACAGATTCGGAGCACGATTATGTACACCTTGTCTTCCTCTAGCGACAAATTCTCTCCAATGTTCGCCGGACCAGCTTCTCCGCGCTTCACTGCTGGTCGCCGTTCGAGTTCACCGATGGTCCCACCCGGAGACAGTATGCATCCGCGAAGCTTTTCGATTCGGTTAGAGCCGATGGCTCCGCAGTCCCGTCGATTCCACGGAATTCGCTGGCGGCCGCGTGAATTTCGATCTGCTCGCGTACATCGCAGGTTTTCGGATCCGCACGCATGCGTTCGCGCCGGAATCAGCACGGGGTATCAGCGAGTTTCACGCTCCGAGCGACGGTTCACCGGAACCCACGCCATTTTGCGGCCTTCCGGGCGGCCGTCGTCCTCCGGCAGTAATCGCCCGCCGAACTCCGCGCACTTCGCCTTCGCGAGCAGCAAGGACACGCGCGGCCCAAAACTGTCTCCAAAACGGCTCGGCGACGTATTCGCCGAGCTTCCGGGTGAGAAACGGTGTCGCCGAATCCGCGGACAAGTACTGTCACTCGCGTTAATCCAAGTTTCTGGCTGATCGCCGTGGGTACCTCTTTGGGACTTATCGAGAGGACTCGATGGGACCGTGTTGCCAGCGGTCCCTAATCGATGCTGCACGTTCCTCCGACGTCCCTGCGCAGATCTTCGGCCCTCGGTGCTTCCCGATCCTCTGTTCCGGCCGGCTGGTGCTCGGTTTCGCCGGCTCGCATCGATCCCTTCGATCGGCGAGCCGATCCAGCGGCAGGGTCCGAGACGGTTCGATCGGCGGGATCTGTGACCCTGGTCTCTCGGACACCCGGTCACGCACCATCCGTCACCAAAAGGACCGTCGAAAGTCGCGCGCGCGTGTACAATTATTCCCTTATCACTGTCCGGCCGGGAGCGGCGTTGATCGTGGTGGTAGCCGAAAAACAACAACAACAAAAAAAACAAAGAACGGGAACGGGAACCGAAGGATAGGGGGTGGAAAGGAGAGAAGGAGAGGGTGTCGAGGAGGAGAGAGAAAGAAAGAGAGAAAAAAGAGAGAAAGAGAGGACACGTTACACGACACAACACCAACGAAACTAACGGCGCGGGGCCCTGGGAGGCACTGACTGCCGGTCAGGCTCCTATAGTACCCAACCTAACCACCCGTGGTCCCCCACCTTCGAGGTCGACCTTTTCGACCCCACTCCGAGGTCGGTTTCCACCACCAGAGCCGCGCGACCACGTCCTATCCGGTGGCGAGGATTCGAGGCTCGTTTCCACGCCGACGTCGAACCATTCGTTCTCCCGGCGGAGTCGACTCTGTCGCTTCCACGCCTCCTGGGGGCAGCTGTGGGACACTTGGCCGGCTCGAGCCGCCAACAAAATGGCCGACAGACCTAATCGATTCGTACCTACCCTCTCCTCTTCTTTTATTTCGCCTCTTACTCCCGCCGATTCCGCTCCCTCTACCACTATTCCGCCTTCTACCGCGTCTACCAACGCCAGCCGGCCGGCCGATTCTTCGGCTAGCGATCACCTCCTTGACTCGGAGCGTCTACCACTCGATACCAACCCGATGGAACAGCCACCGAAAGATGTTACGCGTTACCACCCGTCTACGATGCCTAAATCAGTTCGCCGCTCGCCAAATCCTCGGGATCCGCGCCGGTATTGTTGTCTACAATTTTCCGCAGGAGGATCGTCGTCGTTGTCAACGGGCCGGAACAGATTTCGAAGAGTGTGTTCGACTTTTTCGGGATCGGTTCGACCCGTTGAGTGCTGAAAATCAATCCCGAAACTTCGAACGATCGTCAAGGTAATTCAATCGACGCCAGGTTTACGGAACACTGAAAGCTGCCACGTTGGATTACTTGATGTGCTTGTACAGATTTTTAGCGAGTGTTGTCGCTAACATACGTTCACAAAGAAGCAAATTTATTGAATTAATTTTTTTTATTGAAATTGTACAGGTTTGAAATGTGACTGAACACGAATTAAAAAATGTTGAACCCATCGTTTCGTCGAGTCTCGTAAATCTAGCGTTAATGAAATTGGAACTAGAGAGTCGAGATTCATCACGGTGGCTGGTAATTTAACTCTTTCGCATTCTAAACGTTCTTTTAACATTCTGTTTGGCCGAATATATTACGAGGAAAATGAGTTTCGAGAACTAGGCAAGAATTAGTGTCGCCCATATGTGACCGACACTCGGCTCGTTAATTCGGGTACCTACTTTTAATCTATTTTTTATGGTGTTTGTTTGTTGCATTTATTTTATTTGTTATCAGGGTTACCAGCGACCGTATATTTTTTACATACTTCATATTATAGACTGTTCTGGTAAATTCCGTTCGCCTCCGACTAATGTGGACACTGGTAATTTAGAATAAACTTTTTAGTAAATAAATGGCGCAGCTTGATGAAGCGCTTCACGCTAGAACTACCTAAACGCGACTGGTTTTTGTACTGTTTTATAACAATGGCATGATTTGATTTATGCTTATTTAAATAGGTATTATGCTTAGGTATATTATATAGGTATTTATGCTTATTTATATAGGTATATGCTTCGATAAAGAAGTTCATTGAAAAATGTCTCGTAGAAATGTGTTTCGGTAATTATAGTAACCATAAAAGAAGAAATCAGAAATCGTTTTATGGTGGTTGTAGCGTTAATAAGCGAAGACTTAAGAATGAATAAAGAATTAACAAAAAGATAATTGCGTTACTTGCGTATATTGTATAATACCACCGAACGAGCATGTTACGAAAGAAACTTTTGGAATAAACTAATATTTGCTGAAGTTCGCATTTAAGTCATAAGTAGAGTAATTTAGATTTACTATTGTATTTTATTTTTCATACGAATGCTTAAAAAAAACGAACATACACATTATATTATCTTAGATATTTAAACGATCGCTGTGATTACAACTGCTGAAACTTTCTGTGTTCAAAACATTTTAAATTTAACATGTTAAATGAACTAATATCTATAATACAGCACTTTCAGCAATTGTTATTTAAAAGAAAATTATTGAGAATCTTTTGCATACAGCTTAATCATTTAAAAATCTATTGATACTAAACCTAGAGAACCCTAAGACGTGTTTCACTTGATAATGACGACAATATTGAATTTATTTATATTTTTCCCAATTTTTATTGTAATATATGCCTCTCAATAATCATTCTTAATAGTAAGTTCCTAATAATAACTTGAAACGAAAGATATGAAACACACACACACACACACACACACACACACACACACACACACACACACTCATTTTACTATTAATTACTTTTACTAATTAATTGTTCTTATAATAAAAAACTGTATCATGAAATGATGATCGAATCCACCTATTTACGTGACCAGTAAAGATTACTTCTGCCATTATCTTTACCAGCTCTTACAGGAGCTATCACTATACTATTATGTGATCGTAATCTGTCATTGAGATTTAGACTATTCAAAATTGTTATATCACGTTTCGAAGTACAGTAAATTCTCTGCAATTTTCTCTCCAATTTTCGTTCAGCTTGTAAACAAAAATGGACAATTTGAGAAAAGGAGATACGATTATTTTTTAAAGTCGTATCTCCTTTTCCCAAATTGTCCATTTTTGTTCACAAACCGAGGGACAATGTGGGAGAAATTACTGTAGACAGAATTACCTTTGGACTTCTATGAAGTATATAGAATAATCTAGTTAAAAATCTAATTAAAACCTTCGCTCAGAAAGGTGAAAGGCACGCGATGTACGAAATATTTAAAAATATCCTGACAAGTGGCAAATTAGTAGATAAGACAATGTTAATTAAGAACGACAGAATAGACTTTCAGAGTGAGCAGAGCGTTAATAAATTTACTTCGTAAACGAAAATATTAATTTCGCCGAGACGAAATCGAGCAAACGTTGCCTTCCGTGCATCCGCGCGATTCTCTGGCTCCTTCAACTTCAACGACTCCGAAGAACCTGTTGTCTCGGACTCGTCGGTTTGTTCGTTCCTTCTATTTTCTTTCATTTTTTTTGTCGGAATTTCCTTTTGTTTAACGATCGTCGTTTTTTCGGTTTGCCAGGGCAGTTCTCCACGGACGAAGGTGCCAGGGTTCACGTTTCGCCGCAGCTTTTTCTGCCAGATCATTCGAGATATTTCGCTGGTTTATCGATTCGCCGAGCTTCCAGTTACGTTGAACTCTTTGTCTCATGGGCTTTTGAACACACCGCGACTAAGTATACGCTGTACGCTCGTGCGCGATTTAGAACTTTATGGATTAAATTTCCCGATGTATCCGAGGTCTGCTGACTTTCTTTGTTCAGCGGCTGGCTTCTTCTTCTTCTTCTTCATCTTCATCCTCTTCTTTCTCTTCTTCTTGCTCTTCTCCTTTCTCCTCTGCTTTCTTGGAAACAGCTCCTGGTGACTGAACATTGGAAATTGTTTTTAGAATGTTGTTCTGCATTTTTTCCTTTTCGGTTCGTTGGATCCCTCGATTCATTTGTTTGAGCCTTGGTTCCAACGAAATGCTAGATATTGTTCTTGGTTTCTTTTCGAGTCTGTTACGCCGATGCATTTTTTTGTCTCGCTCACTTGCGACAGATGACTTTGGTAGACTTTGATAACGATATTCCTTCGAGTTTTAGCGAATCGCTGTTTTTCTCTTTGTTGTGCCCGGAAAAATTGTAGTTTTAGACGTTTATTTGCGGAATCACTTATCACAATTCGTACTAAATGATAGAGCAAATGTCGTAGTTATACGACATTATTTTTTTTATACGACACTTTTTTTCTTATCTTTTCAATAATAGACATCAAGTTGAAGAAAGAGCGCGTTACTGCGACACAAATATCACTAGGTTCACTTCAGCCTAATGTTTCAGGTTCGGTAACCTTGATACATGGTTAATTGATTCCGTGGATCAATTGAAAAAGGTATGATGGTACCTAATCTAGATTAATAATTATTATCGACATTATTATTTAAAAGAAAAACTTGAAAGAATGGGATTTTCATGAAATAAAAAGGAAGAAGAATTGATAAAGTCGAAGGACTTTACAACACTCTTAATTTAAAACAGCTCCAAAGTATAGATAATAAATATTACCTAATTAAATATATTTATTAAAGGAATGTATTTACTCTTGTTTAGATATTAAATTATAGTCTCAGAAATGAAATATGATATTACGCTATGCAGAGTTCAAATGAAAGAAAGGTTTATTCACCTAAAATGTAATAAATAGGAATATTATTTATTACTATACTCAGAATTTATTTAAAGTAGGTAATAACCCGTACACTCGTATATTTTAAATTCTAATCCGCAGTAATTCGTACACTGCTCCGTCTTGTTCGCAGTAATGCGTACAAAGTGTATAATCGATTTAATTTTTTAATATTTTCTTATGTGGTGTGCATAAGGTTTCGCGGGCCGCCAATATCGATTGTTATCCAGGACGCATCATTCTCCGATAAAATGCTCAAAGATATTATTATCTCTCGAAGAATTAGGAGAAATATTAAATTAAAGTATCACCGAAACATGATATCGGAGTAATCGCTACATTTGCCCTGATTGGGACTATATAAATAATTTAACATCTCCAAAATCTTAGTATAAAATAAATGCATTACGGTCGAGAGATGCCGCATTTCGTGTAAAAGGGGAGCACAGTTCTCTGTTCCCCGATGAAAGCTCGGCAAAGACAAAAATCGCAGCCCACTCAAATCGAATCAATGTCTCATTAGCAATGTACTCCAAGTGGTACTATTATTCGCGCGGTCTCGGTGATCGTTTAAATGGATCTGTTCGCGGCTAATCAACGGATTAATTCGTCAGCAGGCTGAAAATAAATACCGACGACTGGCCTAAATACGGTAATACAATTCTTTGCAGAAATAATCGAGACTTCGCTGTGACGACAGGTTCTTACCCGCTAGAATGGCCCCATTCGCGACGAAAATAAGACCCGCGGATGAAGAAAGATGAACGCGATCAGATTTTAATTGCGCTGGAACGCTCGGGACAGCGGATTTGGAAAGCAGAGACGGTCGCATCAAACATTGAATGTCCTTCGCCGGCGTCCAGACAGTCTAACGGGAGAGAGAGAAAGAGAGAGAGAGAGAGAGAGAGAGAGAGAGAG